CTTTAAAAGCAAGCATAAGCAGTGTCCTCAGAGAAAGCCAGGCTCGTTGTAGAAAGAAAGCAAAAGTCATCTTTGGAAAATCAATTCTGAATCTGGAAAAGCATTACTGATACTGAGTAGAGAATGCCCAAACTCATGGTGGACAGATTTCAGGAGCTGGAAAGGGCTAAAAGAATAAAGAAAGCAGAAAAATGTGCACAGCATCTAGAAATGATCACGGCAGGATATTGATCTTTGGTAAACCCCAGAGAAGAATCACATTTACAAAAGTGAGGCCATGTGGATTTGGAACACATTCTCTCTACCTCAAGTAAATCTCCATCTTTACAAAACTAGCTGCTGGGTTGCTGCTAGTCTCTGGCGGGGACCAAAGGCCAATCATGGAATACCTAGTGACTAGGTTTGTTTATCTTTTAAGTGAAATTTTAGGGTGTGTGTGTGTGTGTAGACAGTATGGCATTCCTTGAAGACAGCATTTGGCCATGATGATTCACCTAGTTTAGGTGCTAGAAATCAAACTGAGGTCCTTTGTAAGAGCTATACATGCTCTCGACCATCTCCCAAACCCCTGAACTGAATATTTCTTGAGCAATTCAGTATTATTTGATTGTTCTTTTAAATTTATTTTTGAGGATTTAATACATGAGTACTGTATGTACATAAATACCCCCTCCAACTTTCTCTATATCCCTGCTGCTCCTCCTTGAATTCCTTGTCTCTTATTTATTCATAATTGTATACATTTATATGGATAAATACATATAAATTCATAAAGTAAACCTATATAGTTGGGAGTTGTCCCTGAGAAGAAGGAACAGGCCACATGAAGTTTATTTGCAGGGTTTGGAGAAATGTGAAGTTAAAGTTAGCTGTGGAATTCTATAGTCTCTGCTTTCTGAAGTTGTTTGTCCTGACAATGCCATTTTCTTTTTATAAAGTGTCTCACCCTGGATATCAGGATGAGGGTGACAGAAAATGGCTGAATTAGGTGATGGTAATGAGAAGGAAGGGCTGGAGTTTCAACATGATGGTGGGGGATTCCAGGAAGCCTTCGGGGAATGGTTTTACTTGCTCAGAGACTGGCAGGGTTTATTTGAGGTTTGTTATGTAATAGGCAACTTACTCTGAATTTTCTGTAACCCACAAAGTCTTTTTTTCAGTTGTATCCTTTGAACAGCGATGAATAAATTTTCAGGTCTTTGAGGTTTAATTACAATTTTTAACTTACAGATAAATCAACCTTTGGAAACGAAATTGGAAGAAGAATTCAAGTAAATAGCCAGCTAGCTAAGTTTTACTAATTTTTTGACTAAATGACATCTCAGTCTCTACCTGATTTGAACAATATTTTTCCAAGTGAGCTTCAAAGGGATAAAAAGTTTGCTTTCCAGTAATTATCTTCCAAGAAATCACACTGATTTCCCCATTCTTTGATGTACTGCCATTAGCTAATATGTCTAAGCTTTTATTATGGTGGGAAGACAATAGAAAATGTACTTAATCTGTACACCATTCATTCTGATATGTAAGCAAGGAATGAAGATGGAGTCAAATAACAAAACAAGCTGAAACCCTACACATATGGACCTGATGGGCAGCTTGATCTTCATGTGGGTTCCCTAGTAAGGGGACTATCTCTAACAAGAATTCTGTTGCATACTCTTCAACCACATCCACCTGGCAGGGCTGCCTTGCCAGGCCACTGAGGAAGAGGATGTGCTTAGTCCTGATATGATTTGATGTGTACGGGTGGGTTGTTGGGAGGATTCCCCTTTCCTTCAGGGTGAGGGAGGAAGTTAGGGGTCTGGGAGGAGAGGAGGGAGGGGCTACAATTGAAATGTAATATGAATAAATAAATAACTTAATTAAAAAAGAGAGATACTTGAAGGTATATGATAAACAATTGAGGAAGATGTCTAGTTTCTACTTGTGGCCAACACAAGCAGGGCCTCCATAACTTACTCACAAATGTGTATACACACAATTCTAGGGCATAATGCCATATACTAGTATATTATTAAGCAATAAAATTAAATGAAGTAACACTTGATTTTTGACAAAGCATGTGAGTTTGGAAATCATCTCCAAGATTAACAGAAGCAAAAATATTTGAATAAAAGAACATTCAGAATATTGAGATTTTTCTGAGAAGTGAAACCAAAAAGAAAACTATAGCCTATAAACTGGAGAAGATGAAATAATCATAGCAAATAGAGCTTCTGTGTAGAACAGCACTAGGCAGAAAATCAATAGTGTAATTGATACACAGTTACATGTAAAGCGACATATGTATATGATCATGTGTATGTGTCTATGTATGTATATTTTCTGTGTGGAGTCCCTATTTTTCCAAGGGATCAAAACTACCTTTACATTTTACCTGTGGAAACATCACGACGAAGATCAGAGAAAACACATATCATGCTCATGTCTGGTGAACGGAAACATCAGAGACTTTGAAATATTCTCAAGTATTCTGTTCTCAACAAAGCTGTGTTCAAGATAATCTATTTTACTAGAGACTAAAAAATATAGGTGTAAAATGACAAGACAAAGTTCTATTTCTACCTCTTTTTCATATATGCATCAGAAAGGCCAATACCTGAATCACATTTTTGAAGACCGAAGCCCATGAGCACAGGCTCACTAAGTAATCTCACCGTGAGGTCATTTAACACTTTCCCTGCATTTACATCTTACCATTTCATTAACTATAAACCTAACTGTATAATCAAGGAAATTGAGTAAATGTTAACAAAGTCTTTGAAAACTTTAATGTGAACACAATGAAAGAAGATAAAGAACATAACAGAATCTCTGAAAATTGTAAAACAGATACTGATGAGCTTGCCCCTTTCGGGTAGCATGACTATAGCATTTCTGTTTTATACCTAACAGCCATATCATCTTCAACCTATTGCTGATACAGAAATAAATAAATAAATAAATAAATAAATAAATAAATAAATAAATAAATAAATAAGTAGATAGATAGATAGATAGATAGATAGATAAATAGATAGATAGATAGATAGATAGATAGATAGATAGATAGATAGATAGATAAATAAATAAATAAATAAATAAATAAATAAATAAATAAATAAATAGATAGATAGATAAATAGATGAAGGAATCTCTGGACAAGGTCAGGTTGACCAAAATCTATGTTTATGTTCATAAGCTCGGCTGGCCCTAATTATAAACATTACTTGAACCAATCGAATTAAAGCTCAGCTAAATCTGCTTGCCTAGATAGCAAAAGAAGTCAGAGATGACTACCGTGTTCTACTTGTGCCTCCCATTCCCTCTCTTCCATGTGAGCTAATTTCAGTTTTAACCCTTTAAATATGCAATTTAGCTTCCTCTGGAGGACCTGGTTCAGATCTCTTCTGACAATCTCCCTGAGCTCTGAAAATAAAGATTTCAATTCAAGCTTCTGTATTGGAACTGAATTTTCTTGGCTTCCACCCAAACCCAAAAGTTGTAAAAGTTACAAAATGTAGAAAAACAATCCTGGAGTGAGAGAAGGGAAAGGAACACAAAAAGTTCAAAGCAATAGTTAAGAGTTTCTAAAAACAAAAAAGCAGAAAATTGCCAGAAGTACAAGGGAAAAAAATGTAGACAAAATGTTCTGGATGTAAACAGGTTTTTAGGGGTTATTTTTTTGTTTTTGTTTTTTATTTTTTTTTTTATTTATTTTTTATCCCAGGTGTAGGATATGGGACTGATTCAGACTGTTCATAGGAGCAAACTTTTGCTTCACATGGGATCTGGGAGGGGCTCTTTGTCAGCTGCAGATAGTTTAAACCTGAGGATTCTGAGAGGGAATAAAGGCCAGAGCCTGTTGGGAGCGCTGACAAAGAAGGCTGATGACCCTCTCTGCTGCCCCTGGTTGCTGTTGATGCAGTTGGATGAGAAGAAATTGGAGATGGGGGGACCTCCTCCCCATTCATCTGATCCTGTTTTATCAGGTATCTTCAGGGCTGGCTGCAAAGTCCTCCTCTGTGGCCTAACAGACTGCTCCTCCTATCAGTGGACTTGGCAAGGGGCAGGGTGGAGATGAGGGAGGGAGGGAAGGATTGGGAGGGAATGAGGGATCGGGACACGGCTGGGATACAGAGTTAATAATATGTAACTGATAAGAAAAAAATAAAATTCAAAAAAAAAAAAAAAAGAAATTGAAGATAGGCTAAAATGAAGATTGGACTTTCCCCAAGGAACCTGATGACTCTACCCACCTTCCAACACCCCAACACTTGATGGGAGAGAAAAGTTAGTGGGGAAAGGCAGCTGAGTTTTTCTTTAGCAACTTCCTGCTGTTTGGGATGGTCGGGTTCCTCAGGGCAAGTCCAATCTTTGTTTCAGGATATCTCTAACATCTTCTCACCCACCTGCATTAACAGTAACCTGGAGCAGCAGGACGCAACATGGAACACCAACAATCTTCTTTTCTCAGAGCTCGATTTCTTACTCTGGGCCTGGCCTTTATTCCCACTTCGAATTAAACTATCTGTAGCTGGAAAATAACACCTCTAAAGAGCTCACATGAGGCAAATAGTTTGCTGCTGTGGACAATATAAATCAGTCCCATATCCTATACCTGGGATCAAAACAAAAACCTGTTTATATCCACAGCATTTTCCCCTTAAAGTTTAAAAAAATGGTTTTTCTTTTAATATGAGTGATATTTGTTGTTGCTTTCTTAAAAGGAGATGATCAAGTTACCAAATGCTTTTTGTATCAAGTTTCTTTTATAACCTGATAACTCTCAGCTGTTCTTTCCTGGAAGAGCTTGTACTTTTTTCTGTTGGACTGCAAGCTAGGATTCCAAAAGATTAAAATATATTGCCAGAATTAGTTTGATGTCAGGATAATATCAGATCCAGATATGATATGGGTATTAATTGAAATTTTAGAGTTCAGATACATGAATAAAGAGTATTAAAATGTTCTTAGCCATTTAAAACCTCTGAACATAAACACCTTGGGAATGCACACGAATTTCATCATTTTTATTCATTTTGTTTGTCACGTTGTGTTTACAGAGGAATATGTGACCTTGGAGACGACAAACTGCCTCAGGTCTGCTGAACGTCCAGTTACTGATGGATGAAAACTCTCCCATGGATGCCGACAACTGTCCAGGTGTCCCCTGCAAGAGCAAATCTCATTTTGCCAACGTAGTTATCTCTCCAGTACTCACAAACTAAATTTTGAAAGAAAAAAAAAAGGCTTCTTTGTTTTTTCCTTTTCAAATCACTACATTTTCATGTTTGTTTTCACCTTTGCTCTGAGCCCCTGGTCTGGTGTTTTGCTCAGTTCAATCCAGAGAGGTATCCTCCCCCCCCCCCCAAAAAAAAAAAACCCTGTTGGTATATGTTTATGGCAAGCAACTAAGTTGAATTGGAGTTTCTAAGTTATGAGGTAGATGTTAGGTAGAGTGCACCAGAGTCCAGGGCTGCTCACCCAGGCATCATTCCAACGTGTTCCCAGCTGTGTGAAATCTTGAGCCACCATGCTGTCCTTCCCCAGATTCACTGTAAATGCAGCAGCAACCCTTAGTCAATGCAGGAGTCACTGGTAACAACACTGGCTGCTGCTTCTGGAGGACAGGTGTAGGTCACGACTAACCAGGTGCTACCATCTCACCAGCTGTTTGCTAGGAGGCTCCTAGGCAGAAGCCAGGGAGCGGAATGCTTCAGCCAGCAAGTGTGGATGGGAAACCACCATCGCATTCCACTCTGAGGACTCAAAGACCTCAAAAGCATGCTCTGTGATGAAATCCAGTGCCTGCATTTTGAGCTGCTCTGCACTGTGTAGGTCAGCCAGGAACAGAGTATGAGCCACATTCTCCACTGAGAGGTCCCTGCAGAGGGCATCCTCACACAGGACCTTCAAGCGCTCCAGGCCATACTTGTCAGCAGCTGCCAGCACTCCAGCAGCCATGGTGTAGAGGTTTGGCACCTTCCCCGTGTAAATGAAGGTCATCATCTCCTTGAAGACTTGTGGTTCCATGCCATGGATCTCAACTCGGTTCTTTTGCTTCTCCTCCATTTCATGTTCAAACATGGCTCTGAAAACTGGAGAGCGAGCTGCTAAGATGGCCTTGTGAGCCCTGAATTCCTGATCACCTACTACCAGGCAGCAGTCTGTGAAGAGGGAATTCTCCCACAGCTCACCTAGCTCATCTCTCAATGTGCACTTTGGAACCTTGATTGCTGAGGTTGTGTTTAGTCTACCAACATTGCAGGACTCTTGAACCATGGTCACTTGACATAGAAGGGTGAGACTGTCCCCAGGAAGAAGAAATTCTGCTTGTAATAAGAGGAAATCTTTCTGGATGAACTGTTTGAATCCCCACTTGCTGTCAGGCAGGAACCTGAAAAGGCTTTGGCTCGACAGTTCATGGCATTTTTCTCCTTGGTTGTTGATGATCCAAAACTGAAACTTTGCCCAAACTGGGCTTATTGAACAGTTGAGCAACACTAGGTAAACTGACAGGTAGTCTTTGCTCTCTTCATCGATTCCACTGGGGTGCACTCTTAAACACCATTTGTGTTTGTCATAGGGTCCTGAAGAGAAAGTCGCACTTGTAATGGGTTCCGTCATTCCCTCCATGCAAAAGGAGAATTTGGTAATGGTCCACTTGTAGGAAATAATAGAGATATGTGTGGAGCCTGAGTTCTCAGCAGCCATGTCAGCTATCGTTACTGCAAGAGGTAGTTTGAAGGTTAAACTCAGTCCAAAGTGAAGAATCAAGATAGTTTTTCTCTTTCTCCTGTAGGACATAATTAGAGATACTTCTCAGAATTTTACTCTCTACTCTCTGCTCTGTTCCTTCTTTACTGAGACTTGAAACCTGGGTCTCCCTCTAATTTCCTATGTAGATTTTAATATCAGTTTCAGAAAATGCAGTCGACAAACCTAGTCAGTTATTTTTTTTGTTATTTTTTACAATTTATTTACTTTATATCCTGGATGTAGCCGCCTTCCTTATTTCCTCCCGATACCACTTCCCTCCCTTTTTCTCCCCCATTTTTCTTCCTTAATCTAACATGAGGTAAGTCCTCCTACCCTACTCTCTGACTCTAGCCTATCAGGTCCCATCAGGACTGCCTGGATCCTCTTCCCCTGTGGCACAGCTAGGTTACCAGGCCAGGGGAAATGATCAAAGAGCAGGCAAACGAGTTCATGTCAGAGACTTCCCCTGCTCATTTTACTAAGACACACATGGGTATATACTCACTTACAAGCAAATATTAGTTATATATTATATATATATTAATATTATATATTATCCTATATATATTATAGGATAAACATTAAAATCTAAAGACCTAAAGAAGCTAAACAACCAGGAGGACCCTATGGAAGAGGGTGCTTAAATCTCATCCAGAATGGTAAACAGGAAAGACACCAGAAGTTATAGAAGAGAGGGAACAGGAAGGGCACCTACCACAGTTTTCCTCTGAAAGACTCCACCCCGCAGAGGATGGAAGCAAATGCAGAGACACACAGGCAAACTTTGGGCAGAGTACAAAGAATCTTATGGAAGAAGGGGAAGGAAGAAAGAAGGGGACAGGAGCTCCACTAGGAGACCAACAAATGCAAAAAGTCTGGGCCCATCGGGGCCTGCAGAGATTGATGAATCAACCAAGTTCCATGCATGGAGAGGACCTAGATCCCCTGCTCAAATGTAGCCCATAGGCTGCTCAGTCCCCCCTCATGAAGTTTATATGACTCCATTGTATTTTAGGTGAATTGATAACAAGTTTTTGGCTATTATACACAACTTTTCAACTGTTTGAAACATTTTTAACATGTCAGTTTCAAAACATGTCGTATTTACCAAAATCCTATTTTATAAGTAACAAAACATACAAATGAATATATACATAAAAGGTATTAATGAGAATGACTTACAGACTACAGTCAAGAGAATCCACTCAGGGCAAGCTGTGCATAGAAAGTCAAGAAGCCCAGGAAGTTGTTCAGTCCAGGGGGCTAGAGGTCTCAGTTGGCCTTCAGTATATGATAGAATTCTGAAAATGGAGGCTGTAATACTACTGAAGATTTGACCTTGCTAGGATGCTCAGGGCAAGCAGGCAAATGACCAAAACTTCCTACTTCCATGTTTTTATATTGGCTTTCAGCAGATGGTGTGGCCTAATTAAAGGTGTGGTTCCCAGACCCAAAACCTGGATTAAAGTTGTGTGTCTTTTTGCTGCAAGATCCAGATTAAATGCCTGTGGCTTGGGATCTCCAAAGTCAGTAGATCCAAACCCTACTTGGATTTAAGCAAAAACTTTCTCACACTCTGGCCCTCCATTTTGGGGTTTGAGTTAATTCCATTTGTAATCAAGTTTTCAACAAGCACAGCTATCACATGTGTATTTTGCTTACTGTAGTTAAACTCCCATAAGTGAAGGATCTTGTTAATGTCTACAAAGCTCCTATTCACTCTTATGATTGTGTTACATTATCCCTGCCATAAACATGATCAGGGAAGTGGTGTTTTCCTTACCTGTCAGTGTTCACAACATGGAGGGCAGGGGGAAGAGCCCATATATGGTGTCTAACAAGCAGAGCCACAAACTGCTGAAACTGGATGTCTCATCCCTGCCCTATTTCCATCCAGATTCCAGATTTAAAACCCCTGGATGACTCCACAGATTATCTTTGGAGGGCTTGCCCTTCCCCCTCAGGTAATCCTCCTTGGAAATATTCTTCCAGATCCACCTGAGGGTGTGGAAGGGAGTATCCTAAAGGCCTCTAGATTCTATCATGTTCACTGACAGGATTCAGTTTCTCCTGGCCTCAGGTCTTGTATCTTTCTCTGGTGAGTTCTGGCCTCTTCAAACTTAGAACTTTCATGTTTACTCTGCTGAGCCTTAAAAGTAAGATTTGTTCTGTTTTCCAAGAGCTACAGAATATATTCATTGGTTACAGAAGAAGGGATTTTGACATAGCTACTCTTGTAATGTGATCTGTATAATGCTCCCTACTCCTCTCATCTCTATCCAGGTCCTCATGTCTTGGAGAGACAAACTAATCCTAGAGTGCACAGAAATAGCTGCCGTGAGTCAGTCAGCTGAGCAGTTCCAAGCCCAGCCCTCCTTGTGTCTCTCCCAGTACTGCTCATCCCTCAGTGCAGCATAAATCAATCAACTGCTTTTGATCTCTGATTTTTGGTTCCTCTTAGACTTTTTACAAGTGGCTAATTATCAGCATTCGTGACCCTGGGCCAGGTGGATTTATGGTTAGGGTAGCTAGTACCACATCCCTTAAATCTGTGCTTTGAAATGAAGGTAGCCCATTAGTACAAGACATGAAAAAGCTGTACATTGTGGGTTCTGAGCCCCCAATGTATGCTCCTGGAGTATGAGAGCAGCCTCTCACAGGTAAATGGAGATCTCAGTTATTTCATTCCCTCAGTCTCCTAAATGCTAGCATCCCTACCGTGTCTCACACACTTTCCATTCATTTAACAAATATATGTATGTATTTTATTAACTGTTATTTTTGAGTTGTTTCACCTCCGTTATTATTGTTTCTTTTATAGATTTAGAACTCCAGCATTTCATTTCAATATTGAGGAGGTAGAGGTAGAAAGATCTTTGTGATTTCTACCCCCCCCCCATGGTTTATAGGGGAGTTCAAAGACAGCCTAGGCTACACAGAGAAACTGTCTTGAGTGAGAGAGAAGGACACAGACATTCAGACAGACACACAGACAGATAGACAGACAGAAAATACGCAAATCAGTTTGAAAATTCTTTTTCACTGTCTGTGTGGTTAAAGCCTGTATCACACAGGGCTCTAAAGACTGGTGCCTGAGGATTGCCCATATCCAAGAAGGTCACTGTGAGCAATGATTGAAAACATTGTCCAGAAATAGATCACAATAACTAAATTGTCTCCATGTATATAATAAACGTGAAAATTGCTTCATTTAATTATTGGCCACCTGCCAAAATCAGAGAGAGAGGTCGCCAGATCTTTCTCATGGTCTCTTTGTCTCTTTATTAAAGTATATATTATTGGTTTGTTTTTGTTTAAGATCTCCTGCTCAGCAGGGATAGCCTTGATCCTACTATCCCCTCTCCTCAGCCTCTCAGGTAAGCAGATTATACAGAGTTTGACACGGCCTGACTTTTTAAAGGAATGTCCCAAAGAGAAGTAAACGAGAAGTTCAGCGGCCTCTGCCATCCTCTGCTTGCTCTCCAGGCAGCTTTCTTTAGGGGACGTTTTCAGGAATGTATGCAGTCACCTGGGGGAAGATGTATCTTGGTATTTTGCAGGAGATAGAATCAGGGACCTCAACAAGCTAGTCCAGTCTCTACCACTGAGCTACATTTACTTACTTTTAATCCTTCTTAGGCTTTCTCTTCCTTCATTTCTTTTATAAGGCTTATCAAACTGTCACTTGGAAAACCAGTCCAGCAAAGACAGTGCACATAGCACTGTTTCTCTGATGTTAATCATGCTTTTTTATCTCAGGGCCTGGTGTCTAAGGTCTCTAATCCCAGCACTGCAGAGTAAGAGGCATGTCGATCTCTGTGACTTGCAGGTCTACATCAAGAATTCTAGTTCACCAAAAATTACCTAGTGAGGCTGTATCCCAACAATAATGTTATAATAATGTTATTATTTTACAATAATAGAAAGAATAATGAGGTCTTTGTGTTCTTTAAATGAATGTTAAAAAGAACCTTTTAATATCATTTAAAAAAGAGTAGCTAAGAGAGAAAGTTAAGAGAAAAAGAAAGAGGAGAGAAATGAAAAAATCCCTTTTTTAACTTTTACTTTGTTTTCTCCTGTACCATGATCAGTCCATAACCCACTAAACAACTGACAACACCCATCCTAATTCATGGGATGGGGATGTTATATTCTTAATTTTTTTTTTCTGAAGAAAAACATCTTTTTGGGTACCCTTAAAAAATTAGGATATTGGCCATGCACTGGAAAAGTTAGCTCTATCTTTCTCTGTCTAGTTTTTGTGTTTTTTGTCCAGTCTGTGCGGTGTGATCATTTGGGTTATCCCTTTTGAAGTTGTCCTGGATGTAGTTCCTTGAACAAAGAATAACTGAGGCAGTCCGTGAAGCAGAATCATCTTGACTACTTGCTTTATCTTCATTGTTATCTGGTCTCTTACTCTGAAAATAAACTTTCAAAGGTAATATTACATGGACATTTTTGCATCATGAGAACCAGGAAGACAGTAAGATTCATTTACCATGCAAAGTCATTCATCTTTCATTTGGCAGGAGGTCTTCCCTGGTGAAATCTAATCTTTAGAAGTTTTGTTGGTAATGATATTTTGTCATTCCTGTAGATACAGAAGTATAACCATGTTCCAACTCAAAATTACTTCAGGTTTCCATTCTGTTGTCCACAAGTCCTCATAACAAATGGTTTGTTCTAGTCCAGCATTTTTGCTATAATCCAGTATCTCTCAGCTGCTGCTGTTCCTTTTCCATCAACATTAAGAAAATTTAATAATAAAAGCACCATTTAGTATTCCCAGGGGAACTTTATTCTTCCCTTTGTTTTGTAAGAATCCCTTTTAAAGTACAATTAGATCTTTCTACAACTGCCTGTCCAATAGGAATGTGTGGTATACCAGTAATGTGCTTATATTACAATATGCTTCATCTTTCTGGATACATATTCAGCTGCATGTCAGTGTCTTTTTAATTAATATATTTTAGTTCAATTTTTATTAATTACTCTTTATTCACATTGTATCCCCTCTGTAGCTCCCTCCCCCCACCCCTCCCAATCTC